CTATAGGAGCTGTAGCTCCAGGGAATCCAGTGCTCTCTTATGGCCTCCATATGCACAGTTACACACACACACACACACAAAAAAAAAAAAAAAAACTTTAAAAATTAAAAAGTGTATGCCGAGCATTGTTTTGGTAGAGTGCCTGCCTAGAGTGAGTGAAGCCACAGGTTATAGCAGTGAACAGAAGATAGAGAGTTCATACTGTTTTGGAGTTTACATGCTGGTGGCATTTGTTTTACTTTCCATAATGATGAAACAAAGACCACTGGTCTGGTTTAATATTCTAGTTTTCTTGTTATGAAATTGGACTGGCAAGTAATTTTTATTCGGCTTACCGATTCAGATAGTTTCACCACACTGCCTGGGTCCTGTTAATGTTAGGATTTCTAAATCAGGCCCAGCAAGATGCCTTAGACGGTAAGGGTGCTTGCTGTCAAGCCAGATGACCTGAGTTTGATCCCCAGAACTTACATGGCAGAAGGAGAGAGCTGACTCCTACAAGTTGTCCTTTGACCTCTACATGTGCACTGTGGTGTGTGTCCTCCACACTCGTACCTACACAAAAATGTTTAAAAGATTCCTACTCAGAGGCGAATTTAATCATGTTGCCTTTAGGTATGAGTGTAATTGACACTGTCCTGTGATTGTCAGCCCTCAGCTCTCTAGCTGATTTTCTTTCCCTGCTATTCAGGGACACTTTATAGTTTGATAAGCAGTGGAATATTCAAATCTTAGTGCCTCTAATGTTTTTCTTGTGAAAAGTAAGAAATAATTACTTTAACCTGTACTTCATTGAGCTCTTCTGTAAAGAAAATGGGAAAAATAATACCATCTCATAGGATTATTTGTAAGGCATACATGAATTAAAACACTTAAGCACTTAATTTTTAAAATGTTTTACTGTATTTTTGTGTATTTCATACGTAAAATCATCTTTACACCCCCTCCCCCCTCCCCTTTGGCACCTTCCCACAGCCCCCACTGGAGTTCATATATTCTGACATTTGCATTAAGGCCTCTTATGTAAAGTTAGTATCTGGAGATGTCCCTCAATGTAAGCTCATCCACTGGGGTTTAGTCAACTTATCTAGAGTCTCTTGATCTTTTGACCCTAGGTCCTGCCATAGAAGTCAAGCCTCACTCTTCCAGATGAGATGCTGTGTGTTGGTTACAGGAACCTCATTTCTATGTCTGCAGTGGATAGGACCAAGTCTGGGCCAGGAATCTCCCCTCTGCCCAGCAGTGTCTGTTCTGCTCCCATGGGTACCCTTGCCTCCCTCTCACTGTTAGAGAGAGAACCAAAGCCACTCTTCCCTGGGGAGGTAGAAAAAGGGGGAGAGAAAGGAAGAGGGATAAGAAAGCGCTGACCTTATTTTTTTTGATGACTCTGCATTTCATTAGGGTTGCGTACAGAAGCATAGATAACTTACCAGTACTTACACTGCTGAAGGAAATGTCCCTTCCTCTCCTAGTGGCCATTGGAGGAGTGAGGCCTGAGCCCTTCCCTCTCCGTGGTAGAGTAGCAGGGATAGTAGGCAGTCACAGCTGCTGTGAGTTCAGGAGTACAGTGGCTATTTCATGCCAGAAGACAACACTTAACACTCTTCCCCTCCTCCGGCTCTAATGTTCTTTCTGGCCCCTCTTGTGCATTGTTTCCTGTGCCTCTGAAGGGGTGATAGAGATGCCCCATTTATAGCTGAGCAAGTGTTCAAAATCTACTTATTCTAATCACTTGGACCAGTTATGTGTTTCTGCAGTTGTTGCTGCAAACAAAACAAAGCAAGCTTCTCTGGCCAAAGCTGACGGCAGCACTATTCCACATAAACATAGTTATTTAGAAGGCAATTTGATGGGCATATCATGTCCATTTAGCAAATGGTAGCTTCCCCACTAGGGCTTAATGACCCCCCACCCACAGACTTTGGGCTCAGTTTATATCACTAGGCATACAGTCCATCCTGTGAAGTGTGCCCCAAATTCCTTTTAAAAAATGGGTTGGCCTGTAGCAGGCATGCCGCTGTCGCTCCACTGGCCACATCTTACTGGCAGGTTGTAATGTAGTATGAAGGAAGCACAGCTGAGGAAGACTGCTGATGACACTTGTAGCGACTGCTGGCGCTGTAAAGGCTTGCTAGCAACAGGAAGCTTCCAGCTTGACCTCTCTGTGCTCTTCAACCAGGGTCCAGGGTATGGGATGCATTCAACAGTCGTGTTACTATCTAATTCTGGTGGACAGCTAATAGCAGTGGCAGTTGCCTCTATTGTTTTGGGGGCCTCGGGGTTCCCTGACCAACAACTAATAAGGTAGACCATCCTTGGCACGGGGATTCTCATTCATAACCTGATGGCTTCTGGGAGAAGCTTTATCTGCTTTCACAGGGCACCTCCATTCAAAGTTAATAAAAAAGTTAGGTTACCAAGTAGCAGGTTTCCTTACAGTGTTTCACACAGCCTTAGTTTTGGTTGATCCAACCCATATCCTGCTCCCTTTCCTGCTTAAACTTTTCTCCTCCCAGTAACCAATCCCGAATCCTTTTATGCTTTGTTATTAGCCCAACACTTGATAGATGGAGGCAGGAGGATTAGGAGTTCAAAGTGATCTTTGGCTACACGAGACCCTGTGTCAAAATGTAAATAAAAAAAGTTTTTGTTTTTTTTTTTAATATTAGTGTAGGGGGTTAGCAAATTTTTATAGAAAATGTATTAGGTGTTGTGGGTCACAGAGGGCTGTGTTGCCTTTATTTTTATGTGTATGAGTGTTTTGCCTGTGTATACGTGTGCCATTTATATGCAGTACTGGCAAAGACCAGAGGGAGTCATCAGCTCTCCTAGACTGGAATTAGGAATGGTTGTTAGCTGTCATGTGGTGCTGAGAACCAAATTCAGGACTTGTGCAAAAGCAGCCAGTGCTCTTCACTGCTAAGGCATCTCTAGCCCCACCTCTTTTTGAGATCATGAAGATATATTTGAGATCCTAAAGACGTTGTTTTTCTCCATTTACATTCAGATTTCGTAGTCCTCCTGGAATTTAGTTTGTTTTCATTGCCTTGTGGGGGCCTTAGTTCACTAAACACTATTTTTGATGTGACTGTTCTCCTTTCCCTCTGTTTTATACTGCTGTCTTTCATGAATCATGTGGTCTGTGATGTGTTTGTGGGCTTCTGTTTAGTTTTATCATTTGGGCAGTGTCTTCTCTACTGTTTTTCTTTCATTGTGGTTTTTTTTTTTTTTCCTTTGGTCTTTTTGAGACAGGGTCTCCCTGTAGCCCCAGCTGTCCTGGAACTCAGAGTTCTGTGTAGACCAGGCTGGCCTTGAACTCGCAGAGATCCGCCTGCCTCTGCCTCCCGAGTGCTGCGACTAAAGGCGTGCACCACCACGCCCAGCTATTGTTTGTGTTTTAATTTTATAGATTTACATATCCTAATGTCTGACTTTTTTTTTTTTTTTTTTTTTACAATTTTTGGACTGTTTGGGCAGTTTAAAAGACTATAAATTTTATTTTATGTTTTAAAGATTTATTTTTGTATGTGTGTGTGCGCACATGTGTGTGTGGGCGTGTGTGCGTGTATGTGCATGTATGTGCGTGCACCTATGTGCCTGCAGAGGCCAGAAGAAGGTACCAGATCCCTGGAGCTCAAGTTACAGGAATGAGTCCCGCCTGACATGGGTCCTAGAAAACAAATTCCAGTCCTCTGCAAGAGCAGCCAGTGCTCTTAAATGCTGAGCCACCTCTCCAGTTCCTCTTTGTAAATTTCAGAATCAGCTTGTGAATTTCTACACACACGCATAATTGGGATTCATTGAAGTAAAAGCTCTTGGTCAATTTGAGTGAATATTAATGCTTCTACAATAATAAGTTTGCTAGGCCAATTATGGTACCTTTCAATGCCATCCTTAAATTTCTGAATTAACCTATGTGGAGACCTCATTCATCTTTGTGTTATTAGTGGGTCCTTTTGCATTTTGTTTCCGTTGTAATGGTTTTTTTGTTTTGAGACTAAGTCTTACTACTTAGCTCAGGCTAAGTTTGTTTGTTTTGAAACGGTCTCCCTATAACCCCAGCTAGCCTGAAACTGTTTTGTACACCAGGCTGGCCCTCCATCTCCCAGAAATCCACCTACTTCTGCCTCCTGAGTGCTTGGGACACTGATCTTGAACTTTTAATCCTTCTGCTTCTGCCTCAGTGCTGGGCTATAGGCTGCAACTTCTGGCCTGTAATTTTTTTTTCCTTTGTGGTTATTTTTAAGTGTATATCTGTAGAGATGAATGCTATTAATGATAAATCATGACCTATAAATAATGGAATGACTCTGATTTTTTTTGGGGGGGGGGCTAAGTGCTAAATCTGCTACTTGGTCATTATTGCAACTATTAATGTAATCTTTATCTTTTTCATACCCTCTGAATACCTGATAATACTACTAGGTCGTAAAGTCATCAAGAGTTGACAACATTAGACAATTGAAAAAAAATACTCTATTCATGGTTTAAAGTGATAACAGACAGAATGAGGTCATAGAACACGTGGTATCCTAATGTGCACTATTTGTAGTTCTCTGAAATTACATTTGGAGTGGGATAGTAGAATGGAAAAGCACTAGAAACATTGTGTATTTTTAACTATTTCAAGATAGATGCTTTGAGGCGGTTACTATTTTTTGAAATATTCTTCCGAAATACCGATTTGTGAATATTACCTCAATTAAGTGACTATGCTAAGGATGAGGAACAATTTTTATGTACAAAATTTTTTCCTTTGTAGGTTATGTGAGCATTAAGTAGTAATATTAGTAACCCTAAGGGAGTATAAGCAAATAACTTATTTATAATTACCTTTACTTACAAAGGGATTGTGTTATTTAACAGAGATTCTGGCATACCACATCTTTGAACCCTAAGTCATGAGTAGAAGCACAGCAGTTTGTATATGTAATTTTTCCTGTTTTGGTTCCCTGTGTATGGTTAAGGAAAAATGAAATGAATGTCTTTTATATTTTTAGGCACGGATTGCATTTTTACAAGGAGAAAGGAAAGGTCAAGAGAATTTGAAGAAGGATTTAGTGAGAAGAATAAAGATGTTAGAGTATGCACTAAAACAAGAAAGGTGTGTGAGCCTCACTTCCTTACATGAGTAAAATAGAGCAGTGTTATCCTCACTTACATCATTGTATGTTAAATGAGAGTCAAGTGATTAAAGCGAAATACCGTATTTGTTGTAGAATCTGAATTATGGATTTTTTTCCCTAAAGACGAGGAATTATCTTTTCACACATGTATTTGTTACTTGAGTGGTTTATCATTTTCCTTGTCTTCTGTGTAGTGCATTTTTAATGTTCTTAGCAAAGAGACATTAAAGAAGACATTCATATTGTTTTGTTACTGGAGTAATACATAGCAGGACTCAGTCATAAAAAGGAAATAATCATTCTTTTACCAATTTATTACTAAATTTTCAGGGCGAAGTATCACAAATTAAAATATGGCACAGAACTGAACCAAGGTGATTTGAAAATGCCAACCTTTGAATCAGGTAAATTTGATTCTTCTGTCTTTTTGTCAAATTTTTTATTTATTATTTTTATTTTATGTGTTTGAGTGTATTGCCTGCATGTATGTGAGCGCACCCGTGTCATGCAATGCCGCGGAGGTCAGAAGACGGCTTCGGATTCCCCTGGAACTGGAGTTAAGGACGGTTTGTAGCCACCATGTGGGTGCTGGGAATTGAGCCTGGGTCCTTTGCAAGAGCAGTTAGTGCTCTTAACCACTGAGCCATCTCTCCAGCCCCGTCTTTTTTTTTTTTAATCTCGTTTTTATGTAACAGACGTGTACTCTTTATGCTTAGTTTGCCTTTATAGCACTAGACAGTTGATTATTATAAAGTGTCTAAAATTTGGTAGAAATATTTTTTAGGGCCTTTTTTTTTAGTGCAGGTGTCCATTGGCTCCAGGAGAGGGTGCCAAATCCTGTGGAGCTGGAGCTGTAGGTAGTTGTGAGCCACCTGACTCAGGTCCTCTGCAGGAGCAGGATGTGCCCTTAACCACTGAACCATCTCTCTAGACCCCAGTGAAAACAGTAAAGGAATAAAAGAGGTAGTTTTATCTACAGCTCAACCCTAAGGTTATGTATCCTAGTTCCCAGAATTGAAACCTACATAGAACCACGGGTACAGTTTTAGTAATTCAAATTGAAAATACTAAAGTTACTATTTTTTTATCCACAGACCATTGTTGATCCCTATATAAGCTTTATTAAATTTTTATATCTATTGTGTGTGAGAGAGAGTGAGAGCGAGAGAGAGAGTGAGAGTGAGCGAGAGAGAGAGAGAGAGAGAGAGCGAGAGCGAGCCAGTTACAAGGGTTAATTTTTAACTCCTTCCATTATGCAGGGCCTGGGGAATCAAACTCAGTTGTCATGCAGGGTAGCAAGCATCTACCACTGGATCAGATCTCACTAGTCTTAAGTTTATTTTTTTTTAAATATTTATAAAGTTTCTTTTATCTAGAGTTCTAATTAGCTCATTTAGTTCTAAGATACTAGAAATATGACTAGATTTGGAGATTATAATCAGCTACGTAAAATTTATAGTGGGGAAAAATGATCTCCAGTTGTCTTTGTTCTTTATTAAGTAGAGAATAAAAGAGTAGTAGCTGATGAGCACACAGCAGGAGTGAACTGGACATAGGAAATGACTGCACTCAGTGCCAGGGTCCACAGAATGGCAGTTTGAGGAATCTAAAAGAAAGATGGGTATTCTGACTTACGCAGAATTTGGGAATAATGCTAGCAATTTCTATTTTATTTTAGTGTATGTGTATGTGTATGTGTATGTGTATGTGTATGTGTATATTGCCTCCATGTAGGTAAGAGCATCCGTGTTGTGCAGTGCCCAAGGAGGTCAGAAGAGGCTGTCAGATCCCCTGGGACTGGAGTTGTGGACAGTTGTTAGCTGCCATGTGGGTGCTGGGGATTCAAACCTGAGTCTTCTGCAAGAACAACCAGTGTTCTTAACCACTAAGCCATCTCTCCAGCCCCGCAATTTCATTTGAGACAGGGTCCTGTGTATCCCAGTCTAAGCTTGAACTCCCTGCCTTGATCATGTGGTCATCCTGTGTCCACCTCCAGAGTAGTGGAATTGTGGACATGGACCAGAATGCCCAAGTTTACATAGATATTTTTGATGGTGTGATCAAATTGAAGCCTACGCTGTTCTTAGGTGCTGGCTCAGGACAGCACGGAAACTCGTATTTGGATGTGCAGTTCCTCTGTGGGTTTTCTTTCCTCTGTTAAGGGCGTCAAGGCTTAGAGTAGGAAAATAGAACTTACATGTGTGTTAAGTATTACAGTAAGTTAGAAATTCCAAGCTGGATACTGATTTAATTTTGAGTATCAGGGACTTGAGAGAAGCAGGCTGAAGCTGACTTAGTTTTTGCTCTTCCCACTTAGGCTTTAGTGGCACAACAATTTATATCTCTCAGTTGTCATGTATATGCAGTCTAGAGCTCAAGGTAGTGTTAATGTTCTTGGGTCTTGAGTCCAAAGACTTACTCTGATTCTACAGTGTTACGGTCTCCTTCATAGAAAAGTAAGATTAAGACCAAGGAACGGTGTACACGTCTGTAACCTCAGCATTGGTCTGTAACCTCCTCCGATCAGGAGTTCAAGTTTCTTGCTACCAACACCCTGTCTTGGAAAAATCCCTTCCACTAAAAAAAGTAAGAATATTAGAAAAATGGAAGATAGATACACACACACACACACACCCTTCTTATTTTGGTGTTTTTTTAAGACAGCGTCTCCCTGTAGCCGCAGCTGGCCTTGGACTCAGTAATGTAGACCAGGCCTGGCCTTGAACTCACAGAAATCTGCCTGCCTTTGTCTCCTGAGTGGTGGGACTGTATTTTGAGTCTGTGTTACTACTCTAATTATAGTAAGAAAATTGTAGTGAGTATGATTCAAAATATATACAGGAGAAACGATGGATTCAAAGATTTTCTTTCACTGATTTTCTTTTCCAGTATAGCTAGGACATTCAAAAAAGGATCAAAGCTAGAAGGCTGTCCCTGTTGTTTGGTCATTACTCCTGGAGTAGAGCCCAACCAATTCTTGGCCTTGCTTGTCTCGGTATAACAGCTGGTATAAAGCAAGATCATTAATATAGAAATCTCTCCTGCCCTTAACTAAAATTGTAGTAAAATAACTTTTTTGTCTATAAACTTAAGGAGACAATATCTAAGCATTTTATTTATACGAAACAGTAAAAATGGTGTTTTTACTAATATAGGGACGTATTCAGAATATTGAATAGAAAACAAAAAAGGAATAGGAAAATATATATCATGCAAAGGAGATAGAATAAAATTACATCAAAGTATATTTGCAGATAAGTATTAAATGAAATGATACTGTCTTTGTACGGGCCCTCAAATCAACATGAAAAAGAAAGTAGGCATATATTTATACTCATATTCCCTTAACTAATTTTTGATTATATTCAAATATGTAAATGAGTTATTTTCTCTATATTTAGAAATACTCCAATAGAAAAGTGGTCAGAAGGCTTCACACACCTTAGGAGAGGACACCGTAATAGTCAGAAGACAATGGAACGATGGCATTTCATTAGTTGTTTAGGAAATGCAGGCAAAAACTGCAGTGAAATACAGTTTGATAAACATTTATTTCTGTACTTCAGTACAGAAAAAACGTGGGCTCACTAGAATTTGTAGACATTGATGTTGGGGTGGTAAATTAGTAAAGGGACCGCCTCGAAGGGGCCTTAGTATTAGTAAAGGGAACATAGCACATATACCCTGTGATGTGGTAATTCCACTCTAAAAGCATAAACATACTACCCCTGCAGCCTCGTATGAGAATGTCCATAGTATTGCGGCTGGAAAGGTGGCTCAGTGGTTAAGACCACATACTGCTCTTGAAAGGACCCGAGTTCTGTTCCCAGTACCACTTTGGGTGGCTCAGAGCCACCTGTACCTACAGTTCTGGGTGGGGATCTGATGTTTCTGTTTCCCAAGGGCTCCTACACTCATGTGCACATAATTAAAAATAATAAATCTAGTGAAAATGTAGAAATAACTAGAATGTTCTTCCATATTAAAGTGAACAAATGAATTATGGTATATTGACATGACAAAATGCTGTTTAGCAACAAAAGTAAATGAACTACAGTTAAATTTGACAACATAGATGGTTCACACAAAATTGAAAATTAATAGGAATCATTTATGTAACATTCAAAAATTAAATGTTAGGAGTTTAGTTTCAATACTGTTCTTGGAATAATTAATGACAAGTTGAAGGAACAGAGTTTCTGGGAATGCTTTTTATTCAGTCAGAGCATGTCCAGAAATTCATTAAGTTGAACGATCATGTACTTCAACAAAGCGACAATTGTTTGTCCTAGTGCAAAAAGGAAGGACTAATTAAGTAGACTGTATGTTGTAAAGATTATTATGTTGTCACCATTGTGTTCATGGCAGTAGTAGGACTCAATCTAGGCTTCTTGCATTCTATGTAAATGTTCTACCATTGCCTATACCCCAAGTCAGTGTAATCATTTTAAAGGGATTAATCTGTTTTTCCAGAGTATAGTGCAATACACATTGATTCCTTTTTTAAAAGAGGGAGTTGTATTAGTTAAGTATATATTTTCGGTAAAAATAAGGAATGATAAACTATAATAACTATTTTGGTGATAAGATTTTGAGCAGTCATTTCTTAATATATTTTCATCTCCAGTTACTATATTAAAAAATGTTATATGATAATAGACTATTAGAATTAAGTAATTACATCTAGAAGTTAGGGAATTGCTTGTATTTGAAGGGAAAAAAAGTTGATGGGATTGTTAGGGTTAGGGAAGTAGTGCCTATAAAGGATATCCTGATTAATGCCTCAGGTGTCAGACTGAGGAGTCTAGGGTCCTAATAATTGAGACTCTGCCCTTCTCAGCACTCTGTGGACTGATCTTCTAATCATTCTCTTTATAGTATCTTTATTTTGACAGTGAAGATCGGTGTAGAGTAATACTAGTGCACACAGTAGTTTTAAATTTCACTGTAGGGATATGTGTTGAAAGCTTAAGTCATCTGAAATTACACTGTTTATTAAACATGTTTCATTTAGTGTTAGGGATTGAACCTAGGGCTTTGCACAAGCTAAACATGCTGCTATACTTAACCCCCCCCATATAATATATACAGTTCGTTATTTGAGGCTAAAATATGTACTCTTTACCTATTTTCTGAGCTGGGCATTGTGGCACCTGCCTGTAGTCCCAGCCAAGAGGAGGCTGAAATAGGAAGCTAAGTTTGACGCCACCACAGGCCACATACATAGTAAGGCCCTATCTCAAAAAGCAAACAAAAAATCTCAAGTGTCAGGCATGGTGGCTCATGCCTTTAATCTCAGCACTTGGAAGGCAAAGGCAGATGAATTTCTTTGAGTTCCAGGCCAGCCTGGTCTACATAGCAAGTTCCAGGGCAACATATACATAGAGAGACCCTATCTTAAAAACAAACAAAAGACCAATGTAATAAAACCTATTTTCTGTTTTAACGTGTGTGTGTGTGTGTGTGTGTGTGTGTGTGTGTGTGTGTGTGTGTATAAAAGATACTAACAAGCTGTAAACTAGGGGTCTGGTAGAGTGGGGAGACAAGCCGTCTCCTTTTACTCTTGGGCTTGAATTCTGGGTTTCTCATTGAGGCTCTCCTTTGAACAGATGACTTTGATTACAGGTAGGAGGAACTTTATTCATCTTAAATAGGTGTTTATGCTTCTGGACCTCCTTTGAACTCAGCTTGGAGACATTGAGAATCTGCTGGGCCTTCTGGAGGCCAGGGCCAGAGAAGTTGGACACAGCTGCAGACTGGTGCCTGTCATGTCCTAAGCATAAGTGGCTGCCTAACTGGCTGTAAACTGCTGTCCTGGGGCCTAAGCACAAAGGCTCTACCTACCACCTACATGCCCATCACAATGATCTGGGCCAGGTACTTAGCCATGGCACTCTCTCTGTACCTCAGGGTCACCAGCCTGGCTTCCTGGTCCACGGGACCCCTGGTTTAGCTTATATATAATACAGCCTTTTAATTTAAAGACATTTGAGACAAAAGAATTCTAGTGGTTAAAAATTCTATCTAATCTAATTTCATTTCGAAGCCTGGACTTTTGGTTTTTTAATCCTTATAATACATTTGAAGTTTTTTAGTTTTAAAATGGGTAGTTAGGGCTGGAGACATGGCTCAGCGGTTAAGAGCACTGACTGCGAACCATTCCCAGCACCCACATGGCAGCTAACAGCTGTTCGTAACTCCAGCTCCAGGGGATCCAGTCTCTTGACCTTTGAGGGCATTGCATGACACGGTACACCTACCTACATATAAGCAATACACTCATACACATTAAATAAAACATAAGTAAAATATTAAAGTGGGTAGTTAATACCTAAATGAGTTACTAGAATAAACTTTTTAAAAAGGAATGACCCATCATTAAAATTCTTTTAATTTTACTGTCCTATATAAAATACTTTCTGTATATGAAGTTACCCCTGAAAACTTGAGTGCTTTCAAGAGTTCAAATAATGTAAGTAGAACTTTTCTATTCTTAATTTTCAGAAGAAACCAAAGATACAGAGGCTCCTACTGCACCTCAGAATAGCCAGCTAACGTGGAAGCAAGGCAGACAGCTGTTAAGACAGTGAGTAACAATTTCAACTTTCTGTTTTTTAAAATTTCATTATTTTTATTTTATGCGTATGAGTGTATTGCCTGCATGTATGCGAGTGCACCCGTGTTGTGCAATGCTGTGGAGGTCAGAAAAGGGTTTTGGATTCCCCTAGAACGAGTTAAGGACGGTTCGTAGCTGCCAAGTGGCTGCTGGGAATCGAACCCAGGTCCTCTGCAAGAGCAATCAGTGCTCTTAACCGCTGAGCCATCTCTCCAGCCCCTCAACTTTTTGTTTTTTAAAGAAACCAGTTATGAAAGTGCTTATATTGGGTCAATTTATAAGAAGTTATTTAATGTACATGTTTTTCATAGTGCTGCTTTTTAAAGCAAAAATTTAAATTACATTTGTTTAATGTGTACGTGTAGGGCACACATGCTTGTTTAGGTTAGAGGACAACTTGGGGTGCGGAGTGGTCCTTTCCTTCTACCTTGTGAGTCCCAGGGATTAAACTCAGATTTTCAGGCTTGGCGGCAAGCACCTGTTACCTGATGATGAGCCATCTCGCCAGCCTTAGTTCTCCTCTTTGTTCCATAGCAGGTTGGATCTTTTCAAAGTTTGTTTCCTCTGAGTTGCAGAATTTTTTTTTTTTTTAGTGGGATAGAAAGTACGAAGACTGGATGGCTTGAAGGCCGAAACAAAGCAACACGAGTTTGTTCTTCTAGGATACTCCAACTCTGTCATTACAGAGTCCACACATGTGGCTACTTTTTTAAGTCAGCGTCTAACTGTTGTAGAGAAGGAGTTTAGCTGTTCACTTAAAATTTTCAGATGTGCCAAATTCTCTTTTTAGTTGAAAGTTTTGAAGAAACTTTTGATGCTTGTTTATTACTGTATTAGAAATAACTCCATGGGAGATCCTGTTCACTGTCTTTTTATCTTGTGGTTCTTTTCCTTATAGTTTGAAAGTTTTCATACTTGTGTCCTTTTGATCCTGCTTACTATGTAGTTACTCAGCCTTCTCAACTCTGTACATCTTCATCTTTGTTTCATAGTCCATGAAGTGTGGTCAGATGTTTGATCTTGTTACCACTCAAAACTAGTCTGCGATCTGAACTGTCATCGTGTATCTACCTCCTTCACTCCAGTTGCCGTATTATTTGCCAGCTGATTGTACTTTGATGTTTAGGTCCTTCTCTACTTGTGGCTGCTTTGTTTCTTTAGCTCCAACTTGGATCCCATCACCATCACCCTTTTTAGTGCAATTCACTTTGATGCTACCCACTGGCCACACCTTCACCACCAGTGTGCAGACGAAACCACAGCCCTTCAATTTCTAACTAACTCTTGGAGAAAAATATCAAAATCAATGAATAACTGATAGTTTCTTGTCCCCCCACTGCAGAGAGCCTCTGTAAGACCCTGGTCACCCCCATCTCTTTGTTCTCAGTGGTGCGCTGTGTTTCCTTGCAGTCCGTCTTCCTCCCCTCTTACCTCTGCACCTCAGATTCTACTTCACTGAAAATGTGAAGACTGAAGTGAGAGCTCCCTTAACTTTTTACTTTTTCTATAAATATGTTTAAATCTCTTTATTTATGACCCAGTTTTGGATTCTTTTTGTAAATGACTGAAATAAGAACAAAAGAATTTTTTCTTTTTCTTTCTTTTTTCTTTCTTTTTGAGACAGGGTCTCCCTGTAGCCCCAGCTGGCCTGGAACTCGCTATGTAGACCAGGCTGGCCTTGAACTCACAGAGATCCCCCTGCCTCTGCCTCCCAAGTGCTGGAATTAAAGGCGTGTGCCACCATGCCCGGCTCTTATTCTGGATTTTTAAGAAAAATTTTTAATTAATTATTTTTATTTTATGTGTATGAGTTTATTACCTTCATGTCTATAAGTGTATCCATGTCATGCAGTGCCTGCAGAGGTCAGAAAAAGCTGTTGATTCCTGAAACTGGAGTTTCCAACAGTGGTTAGCAGCTATGAGGGTGCTGGGACCCGAACCCGGGTCCTCTGCAACAGCAGTCAGTGCTCTTAACCTCTGAGCCATCTCTCCAGCTCCTTATTATGTTTTTCTGAAAAACTTTTTTTCACACATGACAGCTGACTCTACCTGCCCATTTCTGAGAAGGGTTAGAAATGGCTTGACAGTCAGGTATGCCCATGGGTCTTGCATTTTTATCCAGGTCATATAAGACCTTAGCAGTTCATTCAGATCAGAGTTTAGAGACTATGGGTGGGGAGCAGTTGTTTGCTCCACAAGCAGATTGCCTTGTTTAGAAAGAGGAGTGGGATCTGCTGTAAGAAAACAGTATTTCTCTAATAAATGCTAATCCCATTGCTTGGATTTACATTCTTTCTCTACTTTGTTTTTCTCTTTGATTTTTCTAGTCAAACTCTTCTGAAACTGGATTCTTACATAGCCTTGAACTGGTCCTTCTGAATCCATATCCAAAGGGTTAGTTTTACAGCTGTGTGCCATCATGTCCGCCAAACTTACTAAACGAGGTTTATCTCTGTAGTCACTCGTTTTTTTAATTGTTCTGTTTTTTACTCCCACACTTCTCTGAAGTTCTTATCATAGTATATTCCCAATACCTTGTTTAAAATTGATATTTAGGCCGGGTGTGGTGGCATATCTTTAAACCCTGCAGAGGCAGGTGGGTCCCCATGAGATCAAGGCCATCCTGATCTACATAGCAAATTCCAGGCCAGCTGGAGCTATAGGGAGACCTTGTCTCAAAAAAAAAAAAAAAACCAAAAAAAAAAAAACCAAAATAAAAGTGATACTTGGTCCTGTGAAAGCATTTTCTATTATTTCTCTGAAACTTTTTTCTTCTATAACATAATTCTCTGCTGTCATTTTTCTCCCTGACTTCTGAAGAATTTTAGTTTTTCTTGAATTTTTCCTAGTCTAGACCTTTAAAATGTTGGTATTTGCAGGCTCTCTTACTTATACTCGCTGTATGGGTGATTTCATTTAAATCTATGACTTCAAATACTACTTTATTAGTTGTTTATGTGTAGCTAAGACCAAAATACCTGACAGCTTACTGGAGGAAAAATTTATTTTTATTTTTATTTAAGATCAAAGACTTCTTTTAGTTTGGAGTAGCAGAGATCATGATCGCTTGGTCTGCTTTTCTGGGTTTATTGTGAGGCACAGTAATGGTGGTGGGAGGGGCTATTCTGTTCACGTCAGACAGGAAGCAGGGTAGAGAGGGCAGGACAAGATACCCCTAAGGACCCATCCCCAGCGACCTACTTCCTGTAGCTAGGTACCACCTCTTAAAGTTTCCAGACCTTCCCAAAATAGCACAGCAGCTGGAGAGCTAGCCCTCAACACATGAGCATTTTGATAGGTGCACTTCGTATCAGTGCTGTAGCAACTAACAGAGACTAATGACCCAAATCTGTATACCTAACTCAGTCTCTTCTGAGCCTTTTGTTCTCTTCAAATGAACCAGGGCTTCATACATTTGTCCAAGGTGATTTTAATTTAATTTAATTTAATTTAATTTATTTATTTTTATTTTTATTTTTTTTATTTAAAAAAAAAATATATATATATATATGGTCTTTTTGAGACAGGGTCTCCCTGTAGCCCCAGCTGTCTTGGAACTCACTTTGTAGACCAGGCTGGACTTGAACTCACAGAGTATTTTAAAAAATATTTTATTTTTATTTTATGTGTATGAGTATATTGCCTGCATGTATGTGAGTGCACCCATTCGGATTCCCCTGGACTGGTGTCAAGGACAGTTCGTAGCCACCATGTGGGTGCTGGGAATTGAACCCAGGTCCTCTGCAAGAGCAGTCAGTGCTCTTAACTGCTGAGCCATCTCTCCAGCCCCGTGATTTTTAATGTGTGTGTGTGTGTGTGTGTGTGTGTGTGTGTGTGTTCCACAGTATACATATGGATGTCAGAGGATAACTTGCAGGAATAGGGGCTCTTTCACCCAGGGATCAAACTTAGGTCATCAGACTTCTAGAGCCTGCAACACCAGGATACAGTCTTAACCTCTGGTTGTATATTCCTCTGTGTTAGCTTTATTAGCCTTTACTTGCTGAGCCATCTCACCAAGCCCTCTTCCAAGCTTCTGACTTATCCATGTATTTAATAAACAGTGTCATTTAGTTTTCTTCATAGACATCGTGTGGTTTTCTGATAGGTACTCTGTAAACTTAATTCTGACATTTTAGTCTTTTTGTTGAGTGGAGCAGTCATTTAGGTATACAAGCTGGAAACCTGAAAATTACCCAGAATTTTTCTATCATCTTTTTTTTTGGTGAGGATGGCAGGATTTGAGATTTTGACATAGGGTGTTACCATGGAGCCCTGGCTGGCCTGAAACTTGCTCTGTGGACTAGGCAGGCCTTAAAACTTGTGGTGATCTTTCTGTCTGCCTCCTGAGTGCAGAGGTGGCAGGTGTACATCACACACGGTCACATCTTTGATTTTATTGTCACATTTACTTGTGCATCAAAAAGGATTATATATTGTTTTTCTTTCTTTCTTTTTTTTTTTTTTTTTGGTCTTTTTGAGACAGGGTCTCCCTGTAGCCTCAGCTGTCCTGGAACTCACAGGGATCCACCTGCCTCTGTCTCCCGAGTGCTGGGATTAAAGGCATGCACCACCACGCCCGGCCATTGCTTGTTTTTCTTGTTCTCTTCTCTGTTTTTTGTTCATGCTATATTGTTGTTCATAAAATTGTTCCTGTTTTTAGCTTTCACCTGAAATTATTTTGATCTTTTACTAGTATTTAGGGCCTCTCTAAAAAAATTATTTTAATGTTGCACACATGTGTCTGCATATAGTGCTTGTGGAGGCCAGAAGAGAGCATTGGATCCCTTACAACTGGAGTTAAACATATGGTTGTGAGCTGCCCAGTGTGGGTGCTGGGAACCAGACCCAGGTCCTCTGTAGGAGTGGTAAGTGCTCTTAGTTGCTGAGCCATCTCTCCAGTCCCAAGGCTTCTCTTTAATTAACTCTAAAATATTTAATTAACTCCTAAATACTTTGTCACATGAAGTCACTCACAATCTACCATGTATCACAGTCTGTCCTCTTCTGTCTAGTCTCATCCTGAATCCTAGGATAAGTACTTGGTTTAGAGAAACAGACTTTGAAAACCACAGAACCAGAGGAATACTTTGGAATCTGAGGTCCCTTGTTAAGAACTTGGCAGCTGACTCTGCATCCCGTGTGCTGGGATTAAAGGTGTGCACCACCACACCCAGCCTTAAACGCTTTTTTCAAGGCACAAGACTTTTCAAGTATTGAGATAATTGGCCCTTAATTAATGGTAATCATATTGTATGGTTATTTCAGTTTTGACTTAGAATTGATATCGTTCTCTTTTAGCATTCTCTTAGAACTAGTCTGTCAAGAGGATCTTGGAAACAAAGGAAAATAATATATAGAATTGTAGGACTTTCTAAAAGACTTTTTCATGATTTTAAGTGTGTCAGGAGTTACGGTATGTAGAATTTTAATGTTTAATTTTCTCTTAATAGGTATCTTCAGGAAGTAGGTTACACAGATACAATATTAGATGTACGGTCTCAGCGGGTAAGGTCATTACTTGGACTATCCAATTCAGAACCAAATGGATCAGTAGAAACAAAGAATTTAGAACAGATCCTGAATGGTGGTGAATCTCCTAAACAGAAAGGACAAGAAATCAAAAGGTATAATTTGTACTTGGACATTGACGTTGTTTGAGTAATGAACATTATAATAATTTCTGTAGCTGCAATAAGGCCAAATTCAAGCTGCTCCTTGGTGGCATAACAGAGACTTCATTACAAGTCTCTTTAGCTGGGGTTTCTGCTGTTGCTGTCTTTATTGCCAGACATTTAAATGGCTGTATGAAAGTGTCCCCTCTCCTTTTTTCTTGGTTTTGGTTTTGGTTTTTTGAGACAGGGTCTCCTTGTAGCCTCAGCTGACCTGGAACTTGCTGTGTAGACCAGGCTGGCCTTGATCTCACAGAGATCCTCTTCCCTGTGCCACCCCTCTCCTTTTTTAAAAAAAGGTTATTTTTTATTATGTTTATGAATGGTTGCCTGTATTTGTGCCTGATGCCTATGGAGGCCAGAAGAGGGCGTCGGATTTCCTGGAACTGGAGTTAACAGAGGACTGTTACCTACCGGGTCGGTGCTGGAAACTGTGCCAGGGTCCTCTGCAAGAGCAGCTAGTGCTCTTAACTGCTAAACCATCTCTCCAGCACTGAGAGCCCTTTTTTGTACATAAAGGAACTCAAACTAGTTTTATTAAAATGGTAAAATAGATTATTGCTTTTACCTATTAAATGAGTAGTTTTTAAATACTCAAATATATATATATAGGTCTTTTTGAGACAGGGTCTCCCTGTAGCCCTAGCTGGCCTGGATTCGCTATGGAGACCAGGCTGGCCTCAAACTCACAGAGATCCGCCTGCCTCTGCTGGGATTAAAGGCGTGTGCCACCACGCCTGGCGAAATACGTGAATATTTTAACAGATTAAGGATACTTTTTTCTACATGTAAAATCTGTAAAATAGATTCATGTAATATATGTTTTATAATTTATATCTGGGCAACTTAATAAATTAACTAGCTCTTTTACTGTTTTAGTCCTCAAACATTAAGACCAAAGCATTAAGAGGTTGTAGTTCTAAGATGCAAAATTGCTTGTCTTGATAACTTTGAGAAATGATAGCATCTTATTTTATATTTTATTTATTGTATGTGTCCGAGTGTATTGCCTATATGTATGTAAGTGCACCCATGTCATGCAATGCCCATGGATGTCAGAAGAGGTCAGTTCCTTGGACTTGGAGTAACAGGTAGTTGTTAGTCACCATGTGGATGTTGGGAACCAAACCCGGGCTGAGCTGTCTCTCCAGCCCCATGATAGCATCTTTGAGCATCTAATCTTACTAGATTCTGTTTTCTTATAGAAGTTACCTATGATATTTTGGGCAGTAAACTTTGGAGAAAATCATTAAACAGTGAATATTACTTTAATTATAGAACATAAATAATCTTTTAAAAAATTCTAGATTAAAAGTTTTGGGCAATATAATTAGGTTGTCTTAAACCAGGTATGGTGACGCAAACCTTTTGGGCAGGCAGGAGGATGGGAAGTTCAGATTTATCCTTAGTTGCCTATCGAGTTTAGACCAGGCTCAGCTATCTTGAGATTCTGTCACAAAACAAAAACAAAATAATTGCAGTTGCTACCTTCAAATAGTTTTAAACTAGGAACAGAAAGATTGGGCTCAGTACTAGAGCACTTGCCTGGCATATGTGAGGCCCTGGGTTCAATCTACCACTAGATACAAAAAAAAAAGAAAAGTATTAAAATAGGAAGAAGAAAGAAACGTTAGAGTCAGTTCATAAGAATAGCTGGAGTCATCTTTATCTCTTTCTGCAGGCCCTCTGGTGATGTTCTTGAGACATTCAATTTCTTAGAAAATGCTGATGACAGTGATGAAGAAGAAAATGATATGATTGAGGGCATCCCAGAAGGAAAAGACAAACTTCGGATCAGTAAACACAAAGTAGGAGATGTGTAATATTTCCTATATATGTATCTATTTGAACAGTAATTTCTGATGTTCCTTAAGTTTGTTTGAGTGATTGGCATTTAATTTGTGTGCATGTTGGTGTATAGGGTTCCTTGTGTGTGTGTGTATGTGGCCAGAGGTCATTGATGGGTATCTTCCTCTGTGGCCTTCCTCATTTTCTTGAGACTGAACCCAGAGTTCTCTATTTTGGCTAGACTGGCTGGCCAGCAAGCCCCCCATCTCCCTTCTGCCTTGTCCTCTCCAAACACTGGGTTTCAGGTGGGATTTCAGATGCTCACTGCTGAGCCTAGCTTGTACATGGGTGCTAGGGACCAAACTCGGGTTTTCGTGATTGTCCAGCAAGCACTTTACCCACTGAGCCACCTCCCTAGCCCCAACCATTTTGTTTTTATACTATTATTACCTGAAAGTTTTATATATTGACAGCTTACTGACTTATGCACATACGGCAGGAATTATTTGTTATGTTACTCAGTAAGTGGCCAAGTGAAGGTCTAGTTTAAAAGGATTAGTCCAGTGGTTTGAAACTTTCTAAGATGATACCATTTCCAATCAGCCATAATTTAGAATTACTGCTGAAGCCTAGCTCTTTAAGTGTCACACAGGAGATAAACGAACAGAAACTGCAGTGGAAGTACTCCAACCCTGGGTCAGGGACTAATCTGTGGCTTGTACATAAGTGCTAACATTCTGATTCTTTGGTTGGGATTAATGAAAGTTTAATTTTTGCTTGTAGTCTAGGAGATGAATGTGTGTATTTTCATAGTGATGGGAGTTGGCTCTACAGGACCAGAGTAGAGTGTGCTATATTTCTAAGCATCAGAGGTAGTGCTCAGTATTTCAAGTGTGTTTTAAAATTAAAGTAAATGAACTAAGATTGGAGGTCACAGTGCTTGACTGATGTGCACAAATCCCCGAATTCAACCCAGCATCACATAAATTGGGGGTAGTGGCATACTCTGTAATTGGTCCTGTCACTCCAGAGTTGGAGGCAGAGTTCAGGGATACTTGGGACCCTGTCTCCAAAGAAAAGTCAGTAAATTTAGTTTGAGATTTTTATGGTAATGTGCAAAATATGAAAATGTTCCTTAAAAACTTAGAAGCTAGGTGCTGTGATGGCTCAGCAGTTAAGAGCACAGGGTGCTATTGCAGAGGACCCACACCCACATAGCAGCGAACAACTATAGTTCCAGGGACTCCAACTCCCTCTTCTGACTGCCATGGGTTTGCACACACGATGGCATTTACATACATGCAAGCAAAACACTCATACACATAAAATAGAAATAGACATCAAAGAAAAACCTTCCAGTTTATCCTGGTTTGGTGGCACAGGTTTTTAATCCTAGCACTTGGAAAGCAGAGGTAGGTGGATCTCTGCAAGGTTGAGGCCAGCTGAGGCTACAGGAGGGAGACCTTGTCTCAAAACAACATAAAAACCCAAAACCAAACAAATAAAAATCTTTCGAGTCTACAAAAGCCATATCAACCTTTCTCCAGCCTTCCACATGTGTAATGCACTCTTGTTATATGAATAGAGGTTTTATTTTAATTTACTTTTAAAATTCAACTTATTGTTGCGTGTATGTGATATGTGTGGAGAGGTGCACACACGATGAGATCTGAGGGCAATTTTATAGAACTAGATCTCCACCTTTAGATGGGTTATGGGGATTAAGTGCTTTCCCTGTTGAACCATTTTATAGAACTGAGATTTCAGTTCTAGGTGGTAGGCCACTGGTATAATCTTTTGTACTTATAAACATATTAGTTGCTATGCTATACTGATATGAGTGGTGGACCAAGTATGCAGTTCTGGTGTGTTTGGCCATTTCAGGATAACTTACTAGAGATGCAGGTGAGTAGGAGATTCTTTAGCAGGGATCAGATGTGGACCTACTATAAAGAAAACTCTTGGGGCTGGAGAGATGGCTCAGTCATTAAGAGCACTGGTTGCTCTTCCAGAGGATCTAGGCTCAATTTCCAGCACCCACATAGTGGCTAACAACCATCTGTAACTCTAGTTCCAGGGGATCTGACACATTCTTCTGGCCCCTGCAGGCTCTGCGTGACATGGGTGCATTTATACACGTACAAGCAAAACAGTCATGCGCACAAAATAAAAATTAAAGAAAGCTCAAGGAAGAGAACTTCAGTTACTTTAGTATTATATTGCCTGGTCACATCTCACATGGATCTTCACACAGTGATTTGTGAATCCCATGGAAAACAGTTGTGGACCTGAATAATTTAAAAATATGTCTGTAAATACTGTTAAATGAAAATAATAGACGACCTCTTAAAAACTTAGGTTTGAAAGTAATTACTGGCTTACGTTCTGTTTACAGATAGGTAATGAAGGTTTAGCTGCTGACCTAACTGATGACCCTGATACTGAGGAAGCTCTGAAAGAATTTGATTTTTTAGTGACTGCCGAGGATGGTGAAGGCGCTGGAGAAGCACGGAGTTCTGGGGACGGTACAGAATGGGGTAAGGTGATAAAGAAATCTGGGGTGGGAGGAAGTCTAGCCTTTTAAGGTAGCTTATTAAATATTGTGTGTGGAATATATGTATCTGAGCTGTGATAGCAGGTCACTGAGCGCAAGGAGTGGTAGTAACTGACCTATAGTATTGGTTCTGGTTTATTTAGATTTGGTGACTGAACTGCTCGCTATGGCTTTTCATTTTTGAAATTTATCTTGACTTGAAGTATTTTGTTGATTTCTCTACAGCAGATTTTTTTTTTGAAAACAAGAATTAATCATTTTAAAACATACCTATCATTTTAATTTTAGGTAATCGAGGCTTTAATGAACTCTTTTCCTAGTATGCCCATATGGTGTTACCTGTCTTTGTGTTAGATAGGAAGAAAACTACAGTTCTGAGCAAGATTAAGAATACTGCACTTTATTTATTGCATATAGTATTCAGTGTGCAAATGTTAGAATCTAAATTTTGGAACTGATCTATAATGCCAATACTCATCCACCCAAAATGAGAGAAAACGTCTGTCAACATGGGGTAAACACCTGGTTAGAAGGGTAGAGACGACTCAGCGGTTAGGAGCACTGCTCTTGTTGAGGGCCCAGGTTCCGTTCTGCACATCCACAGAGCAGCTAACAGCCATATGTAACTCCAGTTCTAGGGGATCTGACGCCCTCTTCTGGCTTCTGCAGGCATTAAGCACCCACATGCTTACAAAACACACTTACACATTTAAAAACTTACTAGAGAATAAAATGTAAGTATAAAAAAATATTTTAAGCTAATACCTTAAAATGTATTTTTCCTATTAACATATTCATTGAATCATTGCTTAATACAAGTATGTTATCTGGTAGGTGGTAGAACTCAAAGTGTATTTATAGCACTTTTCTGGAGGTTGCTTTATTACATCTAATAAGATTTATCACTAAATTTATTTTTTTAAATCACTTTGGTGATAAAAAAACACATTGTGGTTTAAAAAAATTTCTTGAAGCTGGAGACATGGCTCAAAGGTTAAGAGCACTTTCCTCCTGTTTTACAGGGGCTGGAGTTCTCTTCCCAGTGTCCATGTTGGTGGTGGGGTCGGGGCCTAACAGCCACCTGTGCTTAGGCTCCAGGAGATCCTATACCCTCTTCCTGCCTCCAAGGGCAGCCACATACACGCACATACGTGAAACACATAAATTAAAATAAAATAAATCATTTTTTAAAGTCTCACATATGGAAACACAATATTGCTAATAGCAGAAATGACAAACCTATATATTTATTTTGATATAAAAGTCAATTGCTCAAGATAATTTAATAATGAGTATGCTCATTATAACACAGAGCATTATTTTTAGATCTTTGTTTCTCTTATGTGGAAATAGAGGGGGCACATTAATTCAAAACATTAATTCCATAGTAACTGTCTGGACTTAGTACATATTTGTACTTTCTTAAAAATGGCTGTATTTTAGAAGTTTATTCTTGGTGCAGAAGAAACAGTCAAAGATCTTAGTTTTTTTGTTTTGTTTTGTTTTTAAAGTTTCTGTGTGTAGCCCATTAAATCTTAGAAATACTTTTCCCTAATTTCAGCAGTATCGGTTTTTTTTTGCATTTTTAATAATTATGTAAAAATAGAAATTATGAGTATTATCTAAGTATGTTTTAGAAGATTTAGAAACCATAAAGAAAAACTAGGAATAAAATTAGAAATCACCTATAATACCATTGTATAGAGACAAGTGATAAACATATGTTTGTGAATATTTATATAAACAATTTAGTCAACTAAGCGTTTATTGAACATCTGTTTAGCTAAGTCTTGGCACACATCCATCCTATATTATATGAAGTTGCTAGAAGTTTAAGTTTTAGCCAAATGGATTAACATTTCAGGAATTTAATTTGTATGAAATGGCTTTTTTTTTTTCTTTTAAAAGAAAGTACCTAGTTAAGTACAAATGATAAATCCTCTTTCAAAGACTTAGCTGTAAAGCAGTTTTGAAGAGGACTTGATTTGTGAGAGACAGCTGTTTATACCTTACTTTAACTATCAGTATTTGACGTGTTTCTCCTTATGTAGATGGAAGTAATCAAGAAAGTTCTAGGTCAGCTGGGGCTATAGGGAGACCCTGTCTCAAAGACACCCCCCCCCAAAAAAAAACCCACCCACACCACCAAGAAAGCCTCTTCCAAAGAGACTGAAACGTTAAAACATTTAAAATTCTAAAATTCATCTTTTCTTCTCAACAGCTTTCATGTTCATTTTTTTCTGAAACACAGAGGATGTGTGTTTTTATACTTATTTAATTCACTTACTAAAATTTTTAATGATTTATACATGGGAAAGTTATATTCAAATTTTTTTAAAAAGAGTCTTAAATATGCTGTAGAAGTTACATTAAATAATTGAGGGCTTTTTTTGTATATTAGTGATCTTAGTTTTCTCTAATTGGAATCTTGTTATGAAACTACTGCTCTTTTAGAAAGCTTTTTAATCTTGTTTTTTTGTTATTTACATCTGATACTCTGGTTAGTGTCAATTTATGTTCTTCCTAAGTACATTAGCTGGGATGTTATTATTTTTGCTTTTTTTCCTCCTCGTAGAGATATGTGGCATTTTGAGAATATTCATTAATTTTCTCTTTGAAACTACTCTCTGGAATTTTATTGGGCCACAAAATATAATTAATACCCGAATGTTGATATTTAAAGACAAGGGTTAAAGTGTTACTATTTACATGAAATGAAATTAATTACAAATTGATGCCACAGTTAACATTTGTATGATTTCTTTGCCTTGGTAATCAGAATTACCATAATACAGTTTTATGTTTTTGTGGCTTGAAGTTGTTAGGAGTCAACTTTTGTGTATGTTTGTGCTTTTTTTTTAAGAAAAAACAAGTTCCCATAATTGAGCCAACTTTGTTTCTTGATAGTCCTCCCCACACTGTAGATTTTTGAAAACAGGATGATTGTGTAGAGGGTTATCCTGCCTCTTCCCTTTGTCTCTTCCCTATTTCTTAAAGCAATAGCAAACCAGCTCTGCTTACCAGGCAAGTTTCAGGATGTTTTTTGACTCATACACATTCACCAGCCTGTTCTTTGCACTGCCTTAGTTTACTTTGGTTTTATACACTGGAGGTTACCTTGCACATAATACTGTTTTTTTCCCTTTGCTTTTTTACTCCACTCCTTTTGCTACTGTTTTTATAGCTGTTCACAGCTTCATTCTTGCTACAAAGGACTTGTAGAAAGCTGGATATTGTAATTAAAATTTTCTTTCCTAATTTTCTGTGTAAATTTTGTAACACTAATGTAGTTTTTTATCTCTGGGGTGCAAAACATTTCTTCAGATTTGTCAGTTTGTCATGCTTGAAATAGTTCAATCATGACTTACGATGAATAGTAAGGAAGGTCCAGGTAGGTTTAAGAACGTTCTGGAGGCTGAGGCAGGAGGGTCATGGATCCAGGCTAGCTGATACTATGTAGTGAGTCCCTGTCTCCACACCAAAAAAATGAGTGCAAATGCCTGATTTCTTAGGTAGTATTCTGTTGGCATTATTCAGTAAGGTGACAGGATTCCTAATGTAGCATAATTTTCAGGAAACTCTGGACTAGAGTACATTAAAGATTACTTTTAGATTATTGTTCAAACTCTTAGATTTTGAGTTTTGACAAATTCATGTAAATTTCAACTTTAACTTAAAGTTCAAGTAACTTAATTTAGCAAATTAACTTAAAGCATTAACTTTAGTTTTTCATATACTGATCACCTTTGATCATAAAGGCATGAGAACTGTAGAACAGAGAGAGGTGCAGTAACTGAGTTCGTTCTCTATGCTGTTCAAATGTGAGAATTTGTGTTTGCCTTTCATAGCAATCCAGAACAGTGCAAAAGTTTTTATGTCTACTTTATGATTAAATCAGCCGGGGCTTAGGGAACAAGAATATGCTTAGATACCAAAAATTTTATGCCAAAAATCTCATTATTTCATGTTATAGACAGTGGGTTTTGGTCTGATTTTTGTTTACTAACAGGATTATATAAATTCCTAGTTGTTGATCTGTGGCAGTGTTAAACTTAATATGGCTGCTTAAAACTCAATGAAGGAACACCCTCAGTGCTTAAAATAATCCTAAGAAAATTGTTTTTAGACTACCTCGTTTTAAGGCTATTTCTCTAGCTTAATGAGTAGATTTCCCCCCCCACACACACACAATTATTAAATATGGGTGGAGGGGATGAAAAAGATGTCATCTTTTTTTCTTAATATTTTATTTATTTAATTTTATTTTTCTGAGACAGGGTCTCCCTGTAGCCCCAGCTGTCCTGGAACTGACTATG